AGAGTTTTGAAAAAGATAATAATGAATGAAAGAATGAATAATTTTGTAGGAAGGAGATGAAGTGCTGAATATGAAGGAGAATGGATTTCTCTAATCAAGAAGATAGTGACACGAACAACGTCTTATGTGTTAATTAGTCTGCCTGCGGTAATTTTTCTTTATTAATTAGTTTAATTATGTCATTAGGGTTTATTAACGTGTTGTTGTTTTTGTGTATGTTTCTTTGAGAAAAGACTAGTTAAAACGGAACTACGTTTCAGGTTGCTTGAATTGTTTTGGAACTGTTTTAATGGTGGATGAGGGAATTTTGAAGCAAGGAGTTGAAATAATGTATTCCCAAAATAAAATATGATGAGAAACTATGAAATCAAAATAGTTCCAAACGGTTGGTATTATATATGATTACAAATTTGCATAATTTCATCAAAAAATTTCGTTCTTCACAAAATAACAAAATTGAAGTATACCTTTGGTATTATATGTATCTTGTTAGATGAGCTTGCTGGATCATACTNTTAATGTATATAATAAGAATGATGATTATTTATATATTGATAATAGTTTCTCTTTGGGGTAAAGAAAATATATCAATAGCATCGAACCCCACAGCCACAGGCCTAAAACCCATATCCTTAATTTGTGCTGAACTTTATGTAATGACTTGGTCCAATTATGTGACCAGAGCCCAGTCCAACTAAGACTTCACCAGCTAGCCCATGTTACATGGCCCAAGTCCAAAATATTACTTCATAATCAACATATAATTACATATATATCCTTCTCCCTGACGATTGCATCAAACGAGGTAACAAACAACAATTTTTTGTCCAATTCATTAAAGAAATAGAAACATAACAATCAGGATTTGTCTATCACCAACAAATAGACACTTTGATATTAGACTTCAATAACCAACTGAAGATAACTTCACTAGAATTTAAGCTTCTTTTTTCCTCAAAATGTGGTACCATTGTTAAGGATTCAAGTCACAATAACTGAATGAACAGTCATTAATCTGATCAATTAACTAAAATTTCTCAAAGATATGCATTAATGCACCAAAATGTCTAGAAAAAAAATGAACCCAGCTTCATCAAGTAGCCATTGAACATAAAAAAAAATGAGGAATACAATATGTAAATTGGAAAAATTCAATGATGTAATGGTAGAAAAACCGATGAGTGCAGGTAGAATCGAAATTGTTCTCAAAGAATTATGTCCCAAACACGCAATCCAATCTTCATCTCACAGCAGGAAAGAAAATAAACTCTCAAATTCCATAAAGCAACTCGAACAAAAGAACAAGTAATTTGCTCTGGAATATAGCTATCAACAGTTTCAAATCGCCAATGCTGCAATCATAGATTCGATAAAACCTGAGCTACATACAAGTTGGTCCCTATATCTAGCAATCTCACCCACAAAAACCCTTAACAGAACAAGAAAGCACAAACAAGAAAATTCACAAATTTCTTCTTTTTTTACAAGTATTAAGAAAAACCTACAAGGTCAAATTTCTGCACATTCAAGACTCAAATTAATCCTCACCTCATAAACAACTCACTTAATCAGAGCAAGTTTTTGAGTCAGTGAGATAAACCTGAGATTGAACAAATGTCTTGCTGACTTTGAATCCCGGCACAACTGTAAATCCAACTATTGGCTTGCTCTTTCCCACAAAAACACTTTTTTTCCGCAAAACATTCTCCATGTACACCATCGAGAATTCTACTCCCCTCTCGACTTGGAAAATTTCAATCACGGGATTAAAAGAGTAGGCCAGCTTATGAAGCAGCCAAATCGAGCTCGCCATCTTAACAAACAGCTCATGAAAAACAGCCAATGATTTCCAAGAATCGAGCACCTTCTCTTTCCTGTCGAGATGTCTGAAAATCGAGCACTCCATTGTCGGGTGAACAAGCTCTTCATACTTCCTCTCGCAAAATATCGAGAATCCACATTTTGTGTTCATGCTCAGAATCTCCATGGGATGGATCGTGACATGTTCGATTAATTGCCTCATAGAACCATTTTGTTCATCAACAACATCACAATTCTCATTGCAAATCAGTTCATCATTGCATAAGCCGAAATCACTCTTGTCGAAATCGTGAAACATTCCCAGACAAACATATGATAAAAATGCATACCGATAATGGCCCTTTTTCCAATAATCGACCCCAGAATAAACAGAGTTTGCAGCTTTCTCCAAATCCCAGCCAGCCCTCTGCATCAGGTTCATCAACAGCTTCACAAAACACCGTACAGATTTCACCGAGTCAGCAAGCATGGCCTCAAACACTCGAATCGTGAGCAAAACATCAAAACCGGCATTTCCCCTTTTCACCCCCAATTTTCGCGATAATTCGACATTGCAAACCCTAATTTTATCCAATTTCTTTCTCAAATCACTCGCCTCGTCGTCCTTGGCGTCCATTTGCGACTGCAACGAGTTCACCATCGTCTCCAGAACCCTAAGCTTGCTCTGATTCTCCTGCACCCGAAATTCCAGAAATGACCCCGCCGGAAAATCGAAACCGCCGCCCGAGCCAGATCCCTTCTTCGAGTCCCTGTACAAGCTCTTCATCTCGGCCAATTTCTCTAGAATCGAGACTATCGACTTGTCCGCCGCTTCTAGGGCCTTCTGGTCAACCTCCGGCACGTGCGCCGCCTGGAACTGGAGATACGAAGCTTCGAATGAGGAGACGGTGGCGAGGAGCGAAGGAATGAGAGCACGAATCAACTCGCCCGACGAATCGTCTTTGTCAGGCACCGAGTCGGGCTTGATGACGACGACCTTCTGGTCGGGGATGAACTCCTCGGCCGAGTCGAGGAGGAGGGTGACGTCGCCGTCGCACTCCGCGGAGTGGACGGCGGAGTAGTCCTCGGAGAAGAGCTCGTACGTCTTGGCCTTGAAGGCGAGGGCGAATTTCTGCAGCATATCTGAGATCGGCGGCGGCGGCGGCGGCGGCGACGGTTTGGACGAGGGGCCGCCGTCCATTTCGACCATCTCGCGGAACCTATACATAGAGAGCACGCAAAAAGTGATCTTTTGCGGATTTGTGAAGTTAGGTTAATTCTTTGCTTGCGAATTGTGGTGGGATCGTGGTGGATTTTCAGGCGAACGTTGCTTTTGAATGACTTTGAAGGAATGTGAGTGCGGCTCTTTCTGTGTGTAGTTCAGTGTGAATTGGCTTTTAGACTTTGTGCGTGTGTGTGTTGTTTTTGTACTAATCTCAACCAAATGCAATGATTATATTTCACAGGCCCTCTCTGTTTAATTAATTAATTTTGCCCTAATTTTTGGTATGAGTCTTATTACAAAATCAATAGATAAATTAGAGGGTTGAGTGAACTATAGGCAATTTAATTATTTGGTAAATAGTAGTTTAAAATAGCATTTTTGAATAGCATTTTTGGTAAATAGTAGTTTGATTACAAAAAATAATTTGAATATGAGATTTTTTGAAATAGATGTAAAAATAATTAAGGGTTTCACCATAAAAATAATTAATGATCAATTTGAAATAGTTTTTTAGGTTTTTACAACTCAAACTTTTCTACCGCATGTACATTCCCATAATGATGGTGGTTTTCCAAAATGTGATATATTTGGGATATAGGAGATAAAATTAATTATTTTTATATATTAAATGATTAATTATTTATCAAACACTTTGCTTAATTAGTTAATAAAATCAACTACTCAAAAATACTAATTTACTCGGTTATCATTGTGCATACTAATCTGATAAGCTATCGCTTTGCATAATCAACTAATTTAATTAACTACTAAAAAATATCAGCTTACTTAGTTATCTGTTAATTCATTCACTATAAGCAATCTGTTATTTAACGCGAAAATTCCACATGACCATCATCAAATTGATTTTGCCCCATTTATTTCTGCTATTTATTTTTTCTAAAGTAAGAAAATGTGCTGAAAAAAAAAGCTGCGGTAGGCTCAAAGGCCTTTTTTTGCTTAAAAAATGTATAATATGTGTATTTTTTTAGTCTGGTCAACCAATTATTTACTTTCCTCATTTTTTGTAACACAATCTTATTCAATGAAATCTTAGGATAAGACCTTATTTTCTTCTTCTTCTTCTTTTTGATTTTTTTCATTTATGTAATATAATATAGTTATAACTTATAAGTATTCAAAACCACTTCTGGAAAAATCCCAAAAAATTAATTTTTAATTTTTTGGAGCGTAGCAAAAGTGAGATTGCTGACCTCATTATTATAATCTTGCTCCTGAATAAATTAATGATGAGCTGCTTTTCCTTGTATGCATGCGGACCACTGACCATAAAATACCATTTTCTGTTAGTTGTCTGTACTGTTTTTTACTATTTTTCTCTTTCGTTTGTTGGGAGTGTGGTGGTCCAATTATGAAATTATTATTGAAACTAATTGTCAGTAATATTTTTGTTTCTCATGATTTACTATCTAACTTATTTAATTTTTGGGTATAGAAAGGGACACTTCATTGAGCCCAATTGTTGAAATCATTTGGGCTAATATGTGGTTGGACTAGATTATATCATGGGCTTACTTGTCATTCAATACAATTGAAGCCCAATAGAAATTGACCGTTAAACAACACTTTATGTAGAAAGTTAATTAACAAATTAAAAGCCAACAACAAAAATCCAATTATCGAATAAGGAAAAATAATAAATCAAAACAAACCCATCGTCGCCTTCGGTAATTACGTCGAAGTTTGTACCGACCCCAAAACGAAAACTACTCGGTTCGTTCAATAAAATTTCTCTCTTTGGGTTCATAACTCTGAAAAAAAAAAAAATTCAAACCCATATCGATAATTCACGTTTTCTTTTGATTCAAATCAAGATTCAGAAGCATGAGCATAGGGGATTTCATGGGCATTCAGCCGTCAGAACTAAAGTTCCCTTGTAAGCTTGTTTTTCTGTGGATTTTCTAATCTCGCACATTTCTTTGTTTTCAGATGAAAAGAAGCGAAAAGGGCACAGAGGATTGGGCTTTAGTTTGTTGTATTTTTGTTTTTAAGCTGCTTTAAGACACTCTTACTGGTTTATTTTTGGTCAACCAAAGATTGGATTTTTACACTCCTACCGGACTGATATATTGTTTGTTTATATTGCAAATGTCATTAATTCATGCTGGATGTGCGAATTCTAATTGTTTATGTATTATTTATTGTCCTTTTTTTTATGTGAGCTGGCTGCAGTTGAATTGAAGAAGCAGAGTTCGTGTTGTATGCAGTTGTCAAACAAAACAGATCAATATATTGCATTTAAGGTAATAATCCTTCTGGGAAAAAAAAATCGTGTCTTGTTAATTTAATGCTCAAATAACTAAATTCTCATGTCTTTTTTTTACTGGGAAAAAAGGTGAAAACAACCAATCCCAAGAAGTACTGTGTTCGACCTAATGCCGGTATTGTTCTGCCCAACTCTGTGTGCAACGTCACAGGTGAAAAGCTTAAAGCTTTTTTCTTGGTTTCAATTTTGGTTTTGTAATTTTCATATTTGTTCGATTTATTCTCACCGGCATTTGTTTTGTGGGTGGTTGTTTACTTGTTTGGTAGTCACTTTGCAAGCCCAGAAAGAGGCTCCTCCAGATATGCAGTGTAGGGATAAGTTTCTTGTTCAGAGTGTGATTGCTCCACAAGGCGCAACTAGTAAAGATGTCACTCAAGAAATGGTCAGTTTTTTGGGTTTTTTCTTGAAATGTTATTTGTACTGTATTAAAAAACTTGATGCTAATGTATTTTTTTTTTCTTTTCTTACCTTTCGGTGTAATGAAGTTTACACGGGAAGATGGGAAGATAGTTGATGAGTTTAGGTTAAGAGTGGTTTATATTCCGGCCAATCCCCCGTCACCTGTGCCCGAAGGAGAAGAAGAAGGGACTTCACCCGAGACATCTTCGGCTGAGGATGAGATTAGGAAGCCCGTTTTTTCCGAGGTTTTTTTNNNNTTTTATTTGTATGTAGTTTTGGTCAAAATGTTAATTTTGGGCCGTTATATAAGCAGGTCACGAAATCGCTTAAGCAATCCGTGGGAAATTCATCCTCTGAGGTGATCGATCCCTCTTTATACATATGCACGTGCACACATACGCACAATATTTAGAACAAAAATGAAAAATGAAACAAGAGCAAAGTAGTAGAAATGTTTGCGAATTACTTATGATATTATGTTTGATATATTGGTATTGTTTATCTCATTTGGTCGTCTGTTCTTGGACATTTACTGTCATATATCCACAGTAATGCAAAAAATATGTTCGAATTGTTGCTGATATGATGCATTTTTCACTTCTTCTCCTAGGAAGTTAAATTCAAATTTATAGCGAGTCATGTCTTCAAAGTTAAGCTTCTCATTTTATGTGAGCAGCTAATTACTGAAAATATTGTTATGGAGGGTAAGTATGTCAGCATCTATTTATCTATTGCTTTTTGCAAATGTTAAAAGTATCTGAGTTGTCGTTTGTTTTTGTTTTTTATTTAATCAAAGGCATCATTTGTTCACTTTTCAACTCGCCTCATTTGCTTTGAGGAGCAATATGGGCTCTGGTATAAAAGCATATAGTTTTAACTTGCAGAGTTAATTTGTTCTTTTCCTGATACCTTCCCAAGTTATGCATAGTTAATTATGGATTTGTCTTTTTTATTTTTGATCCTCTGCTCTATTTCTAGCCGATGAATACTTGTGCACGTTTCTTAGAGGATAAAAATAATTACATTACATCCCTTTGATTTTTTTTTTTCAATATCTTTCATGTGGAGTTGTTTTCTAAACTGAAATATGTTATGCTCAGTCTTGGACAGCTGTTGTCTCAAAGTTGAATGAGGAGAAAGCCTCTGTTACTAAGGAAAATCAAAAGCTACTCAGAGAATTGGTATGATTTTATTTATTTATTTATTTATTTTAATTTCCACGTGTTTAACTTCATTTTATTCTTTTGTTCTTGGTTCGGTTGCTTTAATTGGTGAAATACTCGGCCACATCTATCTTTTTCTTATTTATTCGATAGTCCACACACACACACCCACCTGACAGAAGATAAATAAAAAATTTATTTTCTCGGATAGTTTTTTGCTTGACGATACCGACTATGCAGGAATTGATCAAAAATCAAATGAGACAAAGGCAAGGCAATGCCGTGTCATTTGTAGTTCTGATTTTCGGTTTGCTTTTGGGCATATTGGTTGGATACTTGATCGTTAAGTAGAAGAGATTTTGTTTACAATAGTGCGAGAAACTTTTTGTTTGTTTAATTCATTTATGATGTCATAAATTCGCACCATCCGAATTTTGTTTCATTTTCCCTTTTGTTAGAGACTCGGGGTGTTTTTTTCGCGTGAGAATTTCTGTATTTGTTTATTCCATTGTTCATCTCATTTTTCCTTTCCTTTTTTTGATTTTTTTTTGGGGGGGATGAATGTGATTTGATTCTTCGAGAATTCAAGGATCATTAGCTTGTAAGAGCGGCAACTTTGTTCTTAGTATTCGACCTTAATAAGACTATGGGATATATAGCATTTGTTGGTTTAATTTCTCTTTTTCTAAATGCTGTGTTCACTGCAATTTGACTCTGGTTGAATTGGTTTTCTGTAAAACCCCTTGAAAATACTTGGCCACCACAAAACCAGCTTTGAACAATTTGTTGTGATTTTGTGGAAAGGTAGGTATTCAGTTAGGCTGTCAAATGGGTTAAACAGTTATATACTGTTCCATCAAAATATTAATATTTTCATACTCGAATGTCATACTTTTAGATGAAATATAAACAAAAGCATGTCATTTCACATCTTACATGCGTATTTTCTATAATTAGTAATTTCTATAATGTGAAGCTTCTTATTATGGCTACCCTAATCAAGAAAGGAACCT